ATTAATTTCGCACCAAAGTGGTAACCATTTGAAATCATTATGTGATAAAGAGAGAAGCGCAGCCAAAAAGTACCGCAAATCAGTTGGTGGAAGAGGAATTGCAGGCACTTGCGAAAAATGTGCCGGCAGTTCAGTTAGAGGCGACACTCGATGAACACAGGAGGTGGACGAGCCAGGGTGGGGGTTAAGGAGGATAGTTACATGGCATTTTATCGCTAGTAAAAAATCTACAGCAATTTGCAAAAGAAGTAGAATCATTTGCACTATTAAAATAAAAATGAAGACAAAACTTGTAGATAACATGAAAATAGAAATAGATGCAAAAGCAACAGGAGAAACAGTCCGACGATGCTATGGCAGAGGCAGCCACGCAGGCGCAGTCAGCCAGACAGTAACCAAAAGCCAATAAAGCGTTGCAACAATTGCTAGAAAAAGTTGCAGCAGCAGCAGCAGCAACAACAACAACTAGTAGTAGAAGGCAACAAAAATTACCGCCAAAGACCAAAAGATCAAACTGTAGGGAAATAAACAACAACAAAAGCCAAAGTAGAAAAAGCAACTACGAGTACAGCAAAAACAAAAAAAAAAACACTTTATATGTATGTATACTATATATTGCCATTGGCACTTGAGTGCAACTGCAGCAGCATCCAGTATAACAACAACAATAACAAAAAACTGCAGTGTGCAACACAGTGCGGCGCTTGACTTGCTGCTCCAGTCTGCCTGCGCCTGCGCCTGCGCCGCTCACTGTCTCGCTCTTTATGCCAAAAGTTGCTTGCGGCAGCAACAGCAAAGCAAAGCTGGCTACAAATGCTAAACGCTAAGTTGCTAGTAAAGGGCCCAAACCATGGCTTAAAATCGAATAGAAAAAACTGAAAAGCTTTTCATTGCTGGCAGAGTTGAAGTTGTTGTGTCTGTGGCTCTTGTGTTGTTGCTGCCAGATGATCGGGTGCATATTTTATGTTGCTGCTGCCGCTGCTGCTGCTGCCTTCTATAACTGCATGCATAAGAGTGTGTAAGCGTCGCTGATGAGGCAGCAGCGGCAACAGCAAAAACGCCACAATGCGTTGCATACCAAAAAGTTGCATATGCATATACAGATAAGCCGACGAAAGTTGCCTGTCCCCAGCAACATTTGGCCACGCAACACCAACAACAGCAACAACAACAATTGCCGTTACTGTCTCCCCACCCACTCGCAACAGCAGCAACAGCCGCAACAGCAGTCACGGCAGCAACTCATATAAGTATATTCTATAATGATTATTATGCCTTATGTGTGTCATTTGATGCTGGACGCTGCATTCATGCTCCATCAATACTGACCACCAGCCTGACCAGTTTTAATGCTAATGAAGCGCTTTGGGGCTTGTCAACATTTATAGCCATTCGTTTAGAACACAGGGTGTGCTTTAAGCCGATGTAAAAAATGATTTTTCCAAGGTCCCATACGCCTTGGGCTGCTCAATTAGGCGCCCAAATGAAAGCAGCACCTTTGGATGCAAGACCAATCAAGCCCGTAAAAGGGAGCGCTTTTCTCACAATTAATAACAATTACACTCTTCAGCACAACGAATTTAACGACGATTCAAATCGTGAGACCAATATTTAGTTAAGATATATACATATTTAGCTTTAAATGAAAAAAGAAGGCATATTAATTCATTTGAGTGCGTTTTTCTTGTGTTTCTGGAATTATTATGGAACAAATTGTTGCATTAAGCGTTATGAAATCGTTTTGTTTCTGTAACACTTCTCAGGCGTGTATATATTGAGCCAGGCTCGACAGAACAATTGAAGTAATCCTCGATTTCTACATTTACTGTTGACCTGTCCAGTTATAATATTCTTTTGTGTGTGGTAGATAACGATTAAAGCGATCGAATTATCGATATATTGACAAGTTTTGCGATAAACGTAACTCTGCGAATAATCTGCCAGCAATTGGTGATCAGTTGGCATGGCAAGGAAATGTCCATAAGTATATGTACTTGTATATACAATGAAATGAAATGTAAAAAATATTATTTTAATAATAAAAATTAATAAATTACAGTGTCCATGAGAAACGGGCTTCGCAACACAAGCATTCCACCAGTTTCCTTGCAAAATGATTAAAGTATTCATTTAATTTAAATAACTCTATTTGAAGTATTCTTCATTCTGGGGACGAGTGCGAGATTTTCCAGTAATCCCTTGCAATTATTTAATATTCACATTTGAAAAAAAATTTAAAAAAGGAGCATTTCTTGAAGAAGCCGAAAAGTACATTTTCGAAATGTTGGAAATAAAAGTATCAACTGTTGACTTTCCGAATACAATGCCCGCAAAATGTTTTAGACATATTTGAAACTATTCACACTTTTTCACTTTTAGGATCTTAGTTGCAAATAAAAATATGATCAGAATATTGTTGGTCGCATTTTAAGAAAATATACAAATATATGTACTCTTTTACAGTTTAATAATTGCTCGAAAATAATTTAGATAGGGCTATGGATAAATGCAGCATAATAGCATGATAGAAGGAGTTTGCGTAGAGCCTCTGGTATTTATATCGAAGCGTAGAATTGGGCTTTTTTTTTCTGCACCAAACTTCCACGCAGCCAACTGCAAGGCTTAGTGCTTTAGTGTTAAGCTCGGCTTATCACTTTTCCAACATCGACGAAGTTATTGTTCTCCCTTATTCTGTAAGGCTTAGCCAGTACAGAGCCGGCACATTCTCCATTAATTCAGGCGACAGAAGTGCCAAAAAGTAGACAGTAAGTATACTCGAAACACTTTTGCTGACTAGTGTACACACACTCGAATTATAGACACATTTGCCGCTGGCAAATTTTCGCATCGCGTTAATCTACATACTCGTACATACATCGTCGCAGTCGGAGTCGCGGTTGTTGTTGTTGCTGCTGCTGTTTTCGAGGCTGCCCAAATGTATACAATGTACACACAGTGGGCCGGTGAAGGCAGAACGCAGCAGTCGGGAGCTGGAAGCTGGCTGCTGGCAGCTAAAAGCGACAGAAACATTTCCCCACCATCTATCAGGTGCATTGATCTATGGCTATTTTTTTAATTAACGCTCAGTTTCTTTTATTGGCTGCACGGCTACGCGGCGGCTACGTGAAAAATGAGTCGAGTAGCTGGGAAGCGTTAGCATTTTACACGACGACGTTTGTTATTGTTTTATTGGCTGCCGTTGTTGGTTTGGTGCTGCGGCTGTGACGCGCCAGTTTCCCATGAAGACCGAAACGCGCTATGGAAATTTAAATGGCAAAAATATGAGAACAAAACTTTGACGCCAACAGCCAGAGAATGTGGCTAGAAAATGAAATCTATAGAGATCATTAGCAGCCCTGGCACGTACGACAAAGAGCCGACAACAGAGTCGATGCGAGTTGATTGCAGCAGAGGCAACAACAGTACGATAAGCGAAAGGGGGCGGACTGGGGGCAACAGGGCGCATGGGTGATAGATCATTGCCACACGCAGCTCTGACGTTGATGTTGATGGCCAGGGCCATAAGAGGCTGCTTGAGCAGCGATGTTTCTGCTAATTAAACACAACAACATGCGACAAATTAATACAAATATCTTAGCGTTTAGCTAAATTGAAGTAGAAAATTACAACAAAAGCCGCCACAGCAAGGAGAAGAAGAACAACAACAATGGACGGTAGAAGCGGTAGAAGCAGCAGCCAAGGCGTGAAGCGTCAGGTTTAACCCGTTTTATTCCATCTCTCTTGACTCGACAATTTTCGCAGTCAAATCGATGACAGTTAATGTCTGAGGCAGTGACATTGAAGCGAAAGCCAGAGAACCAGGCCAGTCAACTAGTCAGCCAGCCGGCAAACAACTGACGAAAGCGTTAAGAATGTTGACAGGCGGTCAGCCGCCAAGTGAGTGTACAAAAGTGTGCCTAGCATGGTTAATTGAAAATAAAAATATATACATGTACATATATAAAGATACGCGTACACACACACATATTTAATGGTACAGTAGGCGGGCGATGAGTGTTTTAGCCACAAACTCACCAACAGCTAACTACTTGCTGCCCAGCGATAAGGCTTCAATTAATTAAAGGCAAAGGCGTGCATCATTTATTAATAAATTTACGGCACTTTTTATCAAGGCACCAACAGCAAAAGTAGCAACAAGAGCCGGCAACATTTGAGCAACAGCCCAGCAACATTGCTGCTGAGAATGTAGAGAAAGTTGCAGCGCCAACGGCGACACAATCAAACCAAAGAGAGCACTCGGCTGCGCTTGCAACATGTTCGTTTCAAACCGGTCTATACCGTCTAACCATGAACTTGGTGAAAGAAGCTCTGGCAATGGGAGAAAAGTCTGCCTTTCAGACTCTTGGCATTTTCCAGCTGAAGCTCAAGCTTGAAAAAATTTTTTAAAAGACGCTGCGCAAGCGCGCGCTGAAACATTTGCAATACGACGTTGGTAAGGGTTAGAAGTCTGCGCGCGCTCATAGAAGAAATATACAGAAGTGACAGTGAGAGCTGTAGCGGGAAAAGCAAAGCAGTGTGATTTTGAATAAACACTATACTATTGATTGAGAAGTGGCATCATAAACGTCTGTCTTCGAATATTCGCTATATTCGCCATATTCGCTTCGGTCGTGTTCCCAGCCTCCCAGTCTCCCAAGAAGCGCCTGAGCAGTCGGAGAGACTTTGACTAGGGACGTGCGGTCGTGAAGTGTTTGGAGTCAGTGAGCTGAAGAACAGTTAGTTGACATTAATACGCGCACAGATGCGTTAATAAAAAAAGTGTTTTTAGCTGCGGTCTGTGAGAGCTAAGATCTGGTCTGGTCTGGTCTGATAAACTGGAAACGAAAAAAAAATTACAAAAGGAAACTGAAACCGTGTCGCGAGCTTATAAGCAAGAAAATCGATCCTCCCAACCAACTTTGTGTGTGTAATTATAGCTGTGTCTGTGTCTGTGTGTGTGCTTGTGCGCTTCTGTGATCTAAACTGTTCTGTTCAAGAAAATGGCGAACAGTGCAGCCTGGAGCTGCATCGCAGCCACCTTCACGCTGCTGCTAGCCATAATGGTGGCCTCGACGCAGGCAGAATATCCCGGCGTTATTGAACTAGTGGGCTACAGCAATCGACGTGCGCGCACGCACTTCGTGCCCAGCTCCGAGGAGAGTTCCAATCCCACGTTGGCACCTCCAGCTGCCAAAATACGCGCCGACATTGAAACTGTGAAGCGCAATATGAAGAAATATGATCGTTTGCTGGCCTTGGATACCAAGAACTTGCCTGAACCCCAAAAGGACATGCTGGCACGAATTGTGGAGCGTGTCGCGCGGCTCAAGGAGTCGCTCGACATTGAGGAGCTACAGCTGAGCCAACAGGAGGACACCTCAGCCAAGAGCAGCACGACCCAGCAACAGCTGAGCAGCGAGCAGGAGGTCAGCACATTGCCACCCACGGCGCAAATGGAAACGGAAACCGATCCCACGCTGCTGCTAGACGAGACCACACTGCTGGAACTGCAACAAACTATGGACGAACAGGCTGCCCTGCAGGCAGCGGTCACAGCCCAAACGACGCTCATGCGCGCAGAGGCGCCCACCACCACAGACATTAGCATGGATACAGCATTGGGCGATAGCACCAGCGAGCAAGTGGCAGCAGAGACGCAAACAGCTGCAGCCCCACAGACCACGCTTGTCGAGGGCGAAGAAATGGAGCCGGAAGACGAAACAAACAGCACAGAATTGTCGCTGGGCTCTACCACAAGCGATGATGCGCTGACCGATGCCACCGATCCTGATGATCAATTTGTGGCCGCACGTTCCAACAACAACATTGCCGCAATTACAGCAGCCGATGCTGATCCCAGCACGACCACAACAACCAGTGCCGGCAATCAACGCACACTGACCACCATGGGCAAGCTGAAGCATCGTGCGACCAAGCGACCCTTTGGCCACAAGTCCAATACGGTCGCCGCCCCCAAGCGTGGTCAGCGTCCGAATAGCGTGAGTACCGCGGCTGCAAATGCTGCAGCAGCTCAGAGGCCCAGCACGCCCAGCAGTGGCAACAAGCAGAAACTCTCCACAAGCTCGACCGCTAGCACCAGTTACCAGCAGAAGCTGCAGACGCCTGGAAAGCCAGTGCTGCAGCAACAGAACAAGGTCAGTAGCGCCTCCGCAACAGGCACTACGCCCAATCTATACTCAAGTAGCAGCAGTAGCAGCTCAGCAATGACAGCAACCAGCAATTCGGCCACACCAGCACTGCCTTTGGAGCAACTCTACACGCGCACGCCACAGGCCAATATACCAGTGGCTGCGCTCGCTGCCTCGCCCTCTTCAACATACAGCAGTAATAATAACGATGCCATCGTCTACGATGCGCACGTCAATGCATCGGCCATAATTGATAGCCTAAACACACATGCACGCGAGGAATACTATCAGCAGAAGCAAACCGTTAACAACAAGGATAATAAGGTAAGAGCATCGCAGCAACTCTCTCTCTCTCTCTCTCTCTCCATCTCTCTCTATCGCAAACAACCAGTTGACCAACTACAACTACTAGTACCAACTTGCACCCACCTGAACCGATCTACCCAGTCCACTAAATGGTCGCCAACTCGGCCAATACAGCCAACCGACTGGTGGGCCGTCCACGCGGCGGCGCTGCTGTCAACGTAGAACGCCTGCTTAATGGTCACCGGTTGGTTGCCAGCCCGCTGGTCAGGATTTTAATGAGCGCATTTTTGACGTGTGCTGCTTTGCTGTCTCCTGTCTTCTGCACAGTACAGGCAGTCCTAACCTAAGTTCAACAAATTCTATTTATCGCCCACGAACCTTTACCTGCTTCTGGCTAATATTGAGTATTTATGAAGGAGTTGCCAAGCAGAGAAAGTTAAGATTTAAGTTTATTTTTTACTTCCTTTCCTTTACTAGGAGTCGTGATTTTTGATTCAACAATTCTCATTTTAGCGTTAATGAGCCGTGGTCTTAAATCCGCTAAAGTGAAGAGAAGTAGTTCTTCTAAACTAGCCAAAGAGAAGGGACATGTATAGATAGTTCTTGAATTACCTAATTCTGTGAAAAGTCACTGATGTGCTGAGAAGCACTCCTTTTAATTTATGTACACGTATTTATAAAACAAAACCTACGAGCTATCATCGCAAATAAAAACATAACAATAATTGTAATACTTTTCCCAGACCATCTGGACAATCAGTATCCTTTTATCCCTAGTGGTCATCATAGACTGATTTGACTGTAGGAAATAGTTATTACTGCAACATTTTGGCATTGACTGGGAAATTGACTTAGCGGTTAATGTTGACATTTTCCGCTTAATTAGCAGCGGAGTATCCTAAACTTATGCGCATATCTCTATATGCACTTTCCCAACACAATATAACAACAACAACAACAGCAACGATAGCGACAACTTGTGGTTAGCCATGCTTAAAAAACAGTTTTGGGCCGTTTGGACCGCAACTCAAGCCAAAACAAAAAAGCACAGCCGATGAATGTCAAATGCAGAATTATTGGTACAACTTGACTTTTAAACTGTAACAACGCCAGCGACGACAACAACAACGGCGGCGGTTGAAACCAATGTTGATGACAACGACAAGAGCTGCAACACAACAGTAACAGCAACAGCAACAGTCTGTAGCAACAACAGCATCAGCAGCAAAAAGTTCAAATAAGAAGAAAGAAAGAAAGAAAGAAAAAAAAAAACGATTGGAGTGGCACCCAAGTACAGAGGCGAGCGCCTAGCGAGCCACTTGTTATAAATGGAGCGCTTCAAGGCTTTGGCTTTCCATTGCAAATCGATTGTCATAAGTTGGGACGACAGGCAACAAGGCAACAGCAACAGCAACAACAACAACAACAAACAGCAACGAGAGAAACAACAATTGTCGAGAGCTGCTTGTTTGGCAACGGCGCTTAAATGTCCCGAGACAATGGACAAACTTGCAGGGTATAGTGAGTGGGTCAGTTTTTGGCAATGCAGACGACAGGCAGCTTTTCACATGTTGTTAGAAGCCGGCAAAGCAGGAAATATGTATTTATATATAAATATATTTAGGGGGAAACTGGTGGTGGCAAGGGCACAGACTGCTTATTAATTTTCACGTTCCAATGCACATGCCAGCGCAAAATTGGCCACTCGCCTCACATGCTCGTACATGGAGCGCCAATGAAGCGGCAAACGAAGAAGGCAGCGATGAACACTGTCCCAAGACTGAGGGCAGACAGTCCACATAGTCGCCAACAAGTCACCAGCTTCACACACAGCTTCTCTAACTCACATTCCATAATGCAATCGAAGTCAGCCTGCACATCTCGATAGTAATTTGTTGCAACTACTGACCTATAAATTTTGATGTGCGCCTATGACGACGACGACTCGCATGGTTTGGTTCGCTTCAAGACTCCAATGCTGGACTCTCTGGCGCAAGCTAAGCACAACATAATTTATGGCCAGAGACAGCGATTGGCAATTGCCAATTGCCATTGACGACGACATCAATGACGATGATGACGCCGACACACATTGCTGCTGGCCAACAATTGCCTATCCAATATCGACAGGTTAAGCGAGTCGGTGCTCCACGTTCTACCTGCGTTCTGTCTGACACACAAACACATTAGCGGCAGCAGTAGATCCAACAACAGGTTGACAGCAGCAGGTTAACTTACCTGTAAAGAAAATTAAGCAAATAAAAATGCGTTAGTTCCATTAGGTATCTCTCTGTCTCCCTGTCTCCCTAACTTCCTCTCTCCCTCTCCCTCTCCCCTCTATCAATGACCGTGTGCCTAATTAAAATTGCAGTCACATATCCGCACCTAAATAGGCTATACGCCCGACTATAATGAAGTCTTTAATTGTTTGTTGCTGACTAACTAAATTGGTTTGTTCAGCGGCTTAACAACTGATCGCTAGCCGTGCGGCTGCATCGTTTGATGCCGTTTTAAGCTTTGAGCATGCGCGCTAAATGCTTTGGGCTCTAATCTGAGACTTTGTGACAGTCTTTTCTGGTATTTTGATTGGATAGCCTTAAACCGTTCATTCTTTCCTTATTTTTGAAATGACTGGACAACATTGATTTAGTTGGTTATTATCAGCAAAAAGTTGTAAACATCTAAGTTTGATTACTCTTATACACTCCGAAACCCCACCATTCATACAGACTAATTATCTTGTAATATTGTTCAAGAAAATATGTATATGTGATCGCCACATTGTGGGTGTAACATACATTCGCACCAGACTAGTTTACGCATTGGATGGAGAGGGTAATGAAAGCAAGAGAAAGAGAATAAGAGCTAAGTCTGAAAACAAAATGATGAGAATGTTAATCTCTTAATCCACTCATTAGAAGCATGCTTCCCCATCTAAAATGCACATAACTTTCCTATCCTATTACCTGTGCTGTCTACTTTTGAGAAAGAAAGCTTACTTTTTGCGTCTGTGGATATTATAGCATACTTATTCAAATCCTCACAACGATCAAACCAACTCTTTGGCGATACCTGCGCGCAGCAGGTATGCAACTAATTAACGACCTTATCCAATTATCTTATGTAATCCCAGATACAACACAGCTAGTATTTCCGGCAAACAATCAATCAGAAGCCAAGCCAAAGCGAATTTCATTTAGAGCCACCGCTACGCTACGAATCTAGCTATGCAAAACATGTTATATATTTTTTAATTGGTGTTCATTGACTAAACATTCGGGATGTTTTTCGTTTGATTCGGAAAGCCATAAAATTAAATCGAATCAATGCTACACACACACGCGCCGCACCTTCCAATTAAAACGAACTTTATGAGTTACCCATGTGCGACCAAGCAAGCAACCCATCCGAATCCGAATCCACAACCACAACCACAGCCCCAGCCACGAATGGAGCTGGGCATTGGTCGGAGCGGCGTTGCTGATTGTTGGCTGTCGTTTACCGCTACAAAAATCATAAATTAACGATTAAGCACAGATTTGTTTTACGGTTTTGTTTCCAACAACAACAAAAGCAACAATAAAACACATCAACCGCGAGTCCGCAGTAATTAACACATTGTTGAGGAAAGAGAGAGAGAAAAAAACAACAAAATTCTGCCAAAGTCAGAAAAACTCATCAAATAAAGTAGCGCTTAATTGTCACACAAAGCTGACACTAATCGGACAAAAGAAGCTGCGACTATTATCTATCAGACATCGACACGGATTTGCATAGAATATAATACATACTATCATGAGTAGTATATAGCAACAAAAACTTTCGCTCGCCTTTATTTACACTCGCTTTCTATCAAGCCGCTGTCTGAGAACAAATCTTTAAAGGTGCTAATGATACAATATATTAACAAATTAAAAGCACAAACTCAATAAATGACGATGTGTTCTATTTCCACAATGCTCTAAAATATGACTCAAGATTTCAATGTCAATGGTTTGAGCGCAGCTCGCATGTGTCCAAGGTTTGATTGTGGGGAAGAGATTTAAATTACCGTTATAGAAATTTACATGCCACTGCCGCATGCCAATCGAATGCAAGTGGCAAGTAGACGACTCCACCGGGTCATAAGTGGAGTGAATTGCACTTCACTGTCAGAAACATCTCTGCGATGTAGTATGATGCAACTGACATGCGACTTTTTCACGCTCTCAACTCGTCTAATTACCAACCAGCTCAGCAGTTATGCAAAAAACAAAGATACAAAAACAAAAAAAAAAAAAAAAAACAATCCCCAACATGGCATGCGCCAAAACGAACGCATCCAGCTTGGGCTTGGGTCTCAGCACAGGTCTAATGCATCATCATACACGTATGTACAAGTATGTACATGGATGGCATGTAACTGGCAATTAATTATAGCTTTGTATTTGCATTGGTCGGCGCAAAACTGAACAAAAAGAAATAAACTAAGAAGCAGTTTCACTGCCATGTGCCGTTAGCCACCAACCCACCCAAGTCCCGTCCCCTCCCTTCTCCTCGCAGCCCTCACCCCTCAACATCCCTGCAGCACAAGCTGGCCGCTTGCCGCTTGCCGCGTGCCTCTAACAACAATGACACCACGCAATTTCTTAAGGCATAGAGCATGTAATCATACAAGCTCATATCTAGTAGCAACGCTTAGCTGCAAGGCAGAGAAAATGAAAAAACTATAAAATGAAGAAATGAAAAGCACAAGACAAAAGTGAATTGCAGTTAGTGTAATTTAAACAAATCATAAATTATGACAAACAGCGGCCCCCGCGTGCGCGTCGGTCGAAAATCAAAGGCCGGCATTCATTTTGAAAACATTTTCCCGGAACAATTCGATTATAAGGCGCGCGCACTTTCTGAAAAGTGTAAAATTTGTAACAGTTTGTAACGAGACGGAAAGAGAGCCAGCCAAACGGACAGCCTCACAGCCAGACAGCCAGACAGCCGGATAGACGAATGGATGAACAGCAAACGACTATGTCTAATGC